GGGGGTGAGGGGGGGCTGGCAGAGGTCCTGGAAATCTTCGTGAGGATCGGTACGCAGTGCCCTTGAGCGGGGCGTTTGGCAATGGGCGTAGTTGCTGGTGGAGTTTCATCTAAATTGGGTAGTGTATGTGTAATTCTATACACATTATTTTTCCCTCTTGTTCCAGTTTTGCCTTACTCGGCAATCAAATTTTCTTACAGTATAGCATCTTAATGTAGAGACATCTTCCTCTCTTCAGAGCCAGCACTGCTAACAGCCCAGAAGATAAGTGGGCCTTACTTGTTCCTGTATGTTATAAACAGGATTATTCATTAAATTCCTAACATATATGTAAGTGAGCTGTAAAAAGTGTCCCTGATGTGGCCGGCAGGTTTCTGTATTAGCAGTCATACCCGGTGTGGAAGGAACTCACAGAATCTCAAGGGTTGGAAGGGACCTCGGGAGATCATCTAGTCCAACCCCGATCTTCATTCTTTTCAGGATGGCTGAGATGGCAGGGCACAGAGGTGAATCTGATGTTTTCAGTCTTATTACCTGAATTCAACTGCAATGGAAACAATAAAGATGCAACCTTCACAGTACGGGTCAGGAGCAATTTTAGACAAGCACATGCTTTAAAAGCTTGTGAACTATTGGGCTGCTAAGGGAATTAAGAAAGAAGTCCTAAGTCTTGAGCAAGCTTCTCAGCTTGCTTAGGAGAGTAAAATGCTCTAAATTCTGGGCAGTTCTTTTGGGGACACTGAATAAATATTTTAAGTTGATCCATCTGGCTTTGTGGGTGCTGTCACACCATCTTGCAGAAGATAAATGAAACTTACTGGACACAACTGGAAGTAAAATTAAGGAAGAAGCAAGAATTTTTATTAAAAAAAATAAAAGTGTGAGGGAGAGTGGCAAGTCAGCTCAATGTTTCAGAGGGGACGAAGTGAAAATAAATTTTTCCTATTAGCAGGGCTTTGCTTATTTTGGTGAACACTGTTTCTGTGGGCTGTAGGGACAGAATTGGAGATTGTGGAGCTGGAATTGAAGGAAGTGTGCTCCAGAGAGCGAGTGTAGTCAGTGGTGACTCTAAGCCTAGGGAGAAAAAGGAGTTTTTATGTAGGCTGGATATGTAATTGTGCTGAGAAAAAAGAAGACTGGAGGGTGATGGCCAGTGTCAGAAAGGCTGGAGGGGAAAACTAGAGACAGTGTAAATGGAATGAATAGAATATGTTCCCTGACATTTTGAATAATAATTTGGAGAAAGGAATTGAATCTGCAGCTCGACTCTTCCAGACTGGATCATCAGATAATTCAGCTTGGAAGGGACCTTAGAAGGTCTCCAGTCCAACCTGTTGCAGAAAGCCAGGCCAGTTGGGAGATCAGACAGGGTTGCTCAGGGCTTTATCCATTTGGATCTTGAAAACCTCCGAGGCTGGAAACAGCTCAGCCACCTGCTCTGTGGCCTGACTGTCATCATGGGGAGGACAGTCTGACCATCTCCAGTTCGAACCATTCTTCTTTGACTTTGAAAGGGCCTATTGTTTCTCATCCTCACAGCATGTATGCTTGGCTCCATCTCATCAGCCACTGCATAGGTATTGGGGGGCTGCTGCTAGACCCCCCAAAGCTGTTCTCCAGGCTGAACTGGCCTTCTCACACAAGTGCTGAGCCTCCAGCCATCTGCCTTCCTTCACGGAACTCGCTCCCTTTTGTCAGCATACACCTTGCATTGAGGGACACAAAACTCCTCACAGAATTGAAGCATGGTCTTATGAGTGACAAATAGAGGGGCATAAACCCTTTTGTCGATCTTCTGGTTGTGGTGTTCTTGCAGCCCTGGCTCATGCTCGGCTTGCTCTCTGCTGAGGTCCCCCAAAGCCTTTTCAGGAGAGCCCTCCTCGGCCCATTCAGCCCCCAGCCTGTGTCACTGCAGGGACTCTTCCCAGGTGCAGGACTGTGCATCTGTCCTCATGAGGCTTCTGTTAATCTAGCCCGTAGGGGACCCTCTGGATAGCAGCCTTGCCCTGAGGCTTGTGAACTAGTTGTCATCCACCCCCAGGGCATTTTGTCACCTCCTTCAGGTTGTTGATAAAGGTGTCAAACGGACTGGTCCAGGAGTAGAGGTGGTATCCCACTTGTTACAAGTCTCTGGGCAGAGTATGACTTATTAACCACTACCCTCTGTGCCTGACCAGCTGACTATTTTTTTTTACCTGCCAGGCTGGGCATCCAACCAGACCATAATATCTTAAATTGGATGGAAAAATATTGTGAGATACGGGATGGAAAGCCTTGCTTTCACTCACTCCATTGAGCAAAGGGCCTGCTTTTACTCCCAGTGTAGCAGCAGAAGCCCCTGTGCTCTTGGACGTCCTTCCCAAGCCTTGGCTGCAGGTGGCCTTTGGTTTTCCTGACACCACCCCAACATGCCCGAGTGATAGTTCTAATTCCTGCTTTGTGGACTGTCCTTGCTCCTGTTCCCTGGATGACACCTTTGTACATGGGAGCTGAGTCACGAGCTCCCTGCGCAGCTGTGCTGGTCTCCTAGTATATCTGCTTGTCTTCCTGAATGGACCACTCTTGCCCGTGGAGACTTAAAGCCCCACCAGCTTTCCTCAGCTTCTTTCTTCAGAGCTGCCTTTCACTGGACCCCATTTACCTCTTCCCTGACTAAGGTGGAGTCTGCTGACCTCGTATCACTTGGTTGAAGGTAGAAGCCAGATGCTGGCCTTACTTGTCTTGAGTTTTACAGTGTGACTATGTATTGCAAAGATTAACTTTCCTCACTGTGCATGTGACTTCACTCTCAGCTGCATTTTTTTGTGATTTCGCTGCACTGTTTTGAGATTTTTCTTCCTGTGCCTCTCTAGGACTCAATTTTACAGAGGAAGGCTGTTTGAAATGGTACCTTGCAGGGTTTCATTGACTTCCTGACGTTCCTGCAGATGCCTAACTGTGCCATTGCAGGGGAAGATCCCTGCCCCATCCCAGTTTTCTGCCTTCTGAAAGCAAACACTTACCCTCCTAGAGAGTGATGCTCTCAGATTGGAGGCAAAAAACAGACCTGGAGAAACAGTAGTAAGTCAAGTCTGGCCCAGACTGAAAGGAAAATTGATGCAAGCTTGGAGGCTGGTGTATAACATTTGTGATGCAAGTGAGAAGTGAAATTGCTGTAGCACATGGTTTATATGCATTCTCTAACTGAGGTCGAAAACTTGGACATCTTGGTTTTTTCCCACTGAGTTATGGAAAGCAACACAAGCTTTTAGCAGAACACTGAAACACACATTCCTCCATATGGAAAAGTTTTGGTCTAAGAGGCCTTGTTATCAAATATGCTTTAAACTAGGGTTGATCTTTTGCTTTTCAAAAATTCAGAGACATTGTTTGTGTAAGCCAGAATCTTTCTGACACTCTAAAACTTGTTAGTTTCTCCAGAGGTTTTGGTTGGACCCATTTTTTGGGGGACCCATTGGATTAAATGTAGTTACTGGGAAACTGTTGTGTTTAGTGTAAAACCTTTAAAAAAAATAATTGCCATTTCTGAAAGTTTTTGGCACTTGCTTATGGTACCCTGCATTGTCATTGTCAATCTGGAATTGAGATTTATAGCACGTTGAGACAGCAGGTTTTTGTGTTCAGAGGGCTGTAACCAGTAAATTAGAGAGCTGCATAGGTGTGTTGTCTCATTAGAAACTGGCATTTTGTTTTTATAACTTCCCTGTTGTTGGACAATGTAGCAGCTCTATTGCAAACAGTGGGTTGGATCATTTTACAAAAAGGGAGAATTGTAACTGGGTGGCTTGTATAACCTTACTTTGTAGCATTTGCAAACTTGGAGAGTGGTCTTACCGTCAGTAGTACTGTACTTTGTAGCTGTAGCCATTTCTTTTGTATTTAGGGACTGCTTTCTTAGTAAAACGATGAAGGCATTTGTCTGGCTGAAAGACTGCTCTAGTTACTTTTGCCTTTAAAGAGTACTAAAAGTCAACGATTTACAGGTTTTGCTTTGTTCTCCCCCTTATTTACCCTCCACTCCCCCCTTCACCATTAGGAAACTAGCAGGATGCACTCTCTTCATTACGGGCGCAAGCCGGGGCATTGGCAAAGCCATCGCTTTGAAAGCTGCCAAGGATGGTGCAAACATTGTGATAGCTGCCAAGACAGCTGAGCCCCATCCTACTCTTCCAGGGACTATCTACACTGCTGCAGCAGAGAGTAAGTTGTAATAAATGAGGGTGGGCTTCAGGTGCTGGGCTGGGTTTATGCCCTAGCTTAATTGTCATCCCTGAGTGGAAAACTGCATACGCTTTCTTAGCTCCAATTCACCTTTAATAAAATAAGCTTAGTGCTTCTTTTGCCTCCCAGGAATGCTGGGAGGTATCAAAATATTACTGTAATGAAGATATGCGTGTGTAGATGTGAAAATGCTGTATTAACTGAGATGCGTGTGTGTACCATACCCATTCTCAGTGTGTAAAAAGGTCACAATTTGAGAGTGCAACTTTCAGTGCCTTCCTGAAGAATGTAATTGAATGAGAGATTTTTAGTAAGTTCATGCCATTTGTTCCATCTGAGACCAAATTTTTAAATGTTTAATTTTTTAATTGTGCAGTTGAAGCGGCCGGAGGAAAGGCTTTGCCATGTGTTGTTAATGTGAGGGAAGAACAGCAAATTATTAATGCCGTGGAGAAAGCTGTGAAGACTTTTGGAGGTATGCTAAGGTGTGGAAGAGACGTTAACAGGCAGATTGTTCAAACAAAAAGAGAAAAGAACAGCCTGCCTTACTCATGCTTTTTGTCTTTAAATGCTAATGTGAAATGGCTTATTTTAAAACCAGGAATTGATATTTTGGTGAACAATGCAAGCGCCATCTCTTTGACTGGCACTTTGGAAACAGAAACGAAGAAGGTCAATCTTATGATGGATGTCAATGTACGAGGAACCTACCTTACGTAAGTAATGAGAGAGAAGCAAAGTAATTGTACCAAAATGTATGATGCTATCAGTTTTTCTGAGAAACTGTGTAGCTGTCTTCCTGCCCTGGAGTTGGAGTCCAAGTATTCTACGTGTGCTCACATGCTCAGTTACTGGCCAGCTGGTTGGAAATCAGTACTTGCAAGAATGAATTGCAAGTTGTGGGAAACAGGGACCTTATTACTGTAGTCATTAAGTGTTCCCAAGCCCCTCCATGCAGGTAGGAAGAAGAAACTAGTTTATTTCAAATGGAGCTCCAGCTTGGCTTTGCTAAATGCTGTCTGCTCTTTCATGTCAAGCAAAATGACTAAGTCTTTGCATACATCAAGTGCAATAACTTGTTTGTCAGTTTCCTTCTCATAGGATTCTTTCTCATCTTTAGAGACTGTATAGAACTTACCATAGTTAAAAAAGAAATGTTAAAGATGTAACTTAACGATCTAAAGTGTTCTCTGCCTACTTTGAGCTTATCAATTCTGACATTTATTTAAATAACCATACCAAGATTTGATTTCATAATTCCTGTGGTCTTTATTTTGTTCATTTTTTGGAAATGGATTCAGTAGGTGGAATCATCTTTAGATTTACAGGATGTCATTTAATGTTGCTGTGTTTTAAACTGAAAACTTTGATTTTGATGGGGTTGTGTTTAAAAAAAAAAAAAGCACTTAGGATGATGCAGATTCTCTAAATTCAGTTGTTGCTTGATGTGATCAGGAGCTTTTGTATCAAAGTTTTATCTAGAATAGCGTCTGTCATTTTCCTTTGTGTAGATGAGTCTGGTTATCAGATATTATGATCATATTCCCTAATGTTCTTTTGCTAAGAATCAGGGAAAAGATTTGCCATTAGAATAGTGTAAAACCTCACATAAATAGCAGCTTTCTGAATTAGAGACACGTGCACAGCATGTACAGAGCATGGAGAGAGAAGGAGGGTGGAAGGAAGGAAGGCTCTGCTCACAGAGCAGGACTTCTGTGCTTCCACCCATGATGTCTGCTTTTGAAACAAAACAAGAGGTGACTGATTTGTCTGAATCTCTCTTTCAGGTCTAAGACATGCCTTCCCCACTTGAGGAAAAGTAGGAACCCCCATATCCTGAACCTCAGCCCACCGATGAATCTGAATCCCATGTGGTTCAAAAATCATTGTGGTGAGTAGCATTCAGTGCCTTTGTTGTTATTTTTTGAGAACCACCTAAATACCTGGTGAAATGTGCAGGAGTGCCAGCCCAGAATGCTAGATCTTGTATCTTTAGCACTATAAATAGACTGGCACTAAGCCCAGAGTAGTTTGTACCTAACCTAAAAAAAATTGTTTTGTGAGAAAATGCAGTGCAGGTTTTGTGGCCTAATACATCCTTTGTGTTTTCAAGAATGTTTTCACGGTAAGAGTTTGTGTTTTTTCATGGGAATTCTTACAATTACAGAATATTTCCTGTTCCAAATAGAGATTGAAACCCCAAATCTATTTTCTTCACATTTGATTTAATAGGGGTAAAGTTCAATGTTGTCTTTTAAAACAGAAATTTTGAGGTGGGAAAGGGACCCCATTCTGTCTTGAGGTTTATTCTAAAACTGTAAAAACACCTTTTGATTTCGGACACTTGTCATGTTACACTCCTCCAGCAAGTCCAAGTTCCTTCCTGCCAAAAGTTTCCCTTCTCAAAATAGGTTACAAGGATTTAGCATTTCCTTCCCCCACCCCCCTTTTGTTTTCTATAGAATACCAGTTTGCTTGCTACCAGCTAGTATGCCTTAGGCCTCTTGAAAAACTTGAGCACTGTTGTCAGTGTGCTGTGTATAAAAAGCACAACAAAACCACCATACAGCTAGGCTTCAGTTGTTTTTGTCAAAATATGTGTAGCTCTCATTTTACTTGTAGCGAAAATATGGCAGACTACAGTTTGTATCTGCTGGTGGTGGTGAGGAGAAGGGAGAGATTTTGACTCCAGGAAGATACTGTTTTGTCCCCAAAACCTTGATTTTCTTATGAACAAACAATTTGTTTTTTCTTTCCTTCATAATCACAGTTCTGTTGATAAGAGTATAAATTTTTATCTTTTGTATACTTCCTGTCTTAGCTTATACCATTTCTAAATATGGGATGTCCATGTGTGTCTTGGGAATGGCAGAAGAATTTAGAGGAGAAGTTGCTGTCAATGCTTTATGGCCTAAAACAGGTGATTTTTTTTTTTTTTTATGGTACTAAAATAACAACTTTATGTATTTTGTCTTCTACAGCTTGTTTCATTTGGGTTTGATTACACTTCAGACTTTTTCTGGAATTGACTGAGGAGACTAAGAGTCCTTTTGCATGTTCTTTGTTTGTCTTGGATGGGCACTGGGCTTTATTCCTAGTTCTCTCTAGACCATTGCCACTTTCATCCAAACTCATCTTCAGCTAATTTGCAACCCATTCAACCCTTTCAGCAGGCTGAAGCATCTGTGTAGTATTTGGCTTGTCTGTGCTCTTTCTCATGCACCCAGAGTTTTGGCTTGGACAGCATGCTTTCATTAGTAGGTATTAAACATCTGTGTGTATAGTACTATTTAGAATTCCTTGCTAGTTAAATTGCCAGAGTGTAGATGGAACCGACAAGATATATACCTCTGTAAATGCAGAAATAATTAAAAAAGCCCCCCCTGTTCCTAGACTTTTTTGCGCAGTGGGCCAGCAAACAGTTGTTCACAGAACCATCTGCTTGCAAGTCACAGGAAATTAAAAGAGCTCCATGGAAGAAAAACAACTCGATGCTCTCACATTGTGTTAACTTCAATTTATTGTCTATGGGTCAGTGAGGACGAGGGCTGCTGTTTGCCAGGGAGGCCAGTCTCTTCACCCCAAATACATCTATGTGCAGAAGTGATGCCGATGTTAAAATCAGTAAAGGCAGAAGGTAATCCTGCCCCTTAATGGTGTGAGCCCAGTCATTGTGTTATGAAAGGTTACAACAGCAGTTTATTCCCTTTACTAATGGAAGGAGGGAAGGAGGAAGAGGAAATAAAAATATGAACCAAGATCCTCTTCTGGAGCTAGTGCTCCAGTGTAAGAAGTGTTTGTACCCAGACACTTTTCAGCGTTTTCTTGTTAGGAGTTGCAGGCCCCTTTTAACTTCTAGTGTGGAAGCTCTCTGATTTGCTTCCTCTAAAGTGAGGAATATGAGCAAAACTTAATTATTTCAGACAAAATCAGCTGAGTGTCTTTGCTTAAATACTACAGGTGATGCTCAGTTGAACTCTTGGGTTAGTATGCCTGACAGACGTGGACCTTTTTCATTGGTCTGGATGCTCGCATCCTAAATTCTCACCATAAATGGATGCCTTGTAATTCTGCTCTACTGTGAGTTTTACCCATAGAAGAATCTTGGTAAGGCATTGACTTTTTGAATGATGATTATTTTATTCTTGATAATTACATCATCACAAAACTTGTACTGTCTGTTTCAAAGAGAAAAAGCTCTTCATCTTTGGTGTACTGAAGGCAACTGCATGTTGCAGGGTCTGGATTGCCTTCCTGGCAGTGGAGTGAAAGCTCACCATTCAGGTTTTGGGTCTCTATTGTATTTTTTTATTTCTGAAGGAGTTAGAAGAAATATGGACTTGCTTTTTGAGTGCTCCAGGGAAACCTCAGAAATTTTTCAATGGAGATTTCCCTGGATTTGTCTTTGTCGTCTGGAATAGAGCCATGAAGCTTGGGTCTTAAAGCCCTTAGCTCCCTAGGCCTCATGCCCATCCTGCCTGGCTTGTCCCTAAAATGCCACTGCTAAATGGGTTTTACATCTTCTCAGAATCCTATATGTAGGAGTAATTTGGTTTTCCATTAGCAGAGGTGATCTTTTGTCTACCATTTTGTGTTTTTTTGTCACCGACTGATTAAGCAATGTAAATTGTATATGAGAATTAGGGACAGTGAAGGAATTAATCCAGAGTAACTCGTTCAGACAGAGACGTTGTATCGAGCTGCAGACAACATTACTAATTTAACATTTTTATCATGCAGAAGGTGTTAAAAGATTACCTGTGTCGTGTAACTGCAAGTATTTAGGTGCTGCACTGGCACATCGTGTGCACCCTCCACAGCTTTCTGATTCTTCAGCACCACCTTCTCTCTGTGATTGTGGATGTGCTGGAGAAAACATCCACCGATGTTGTGGAAATGAGTCAGTGGTTCTGTGGGTCCCAGCGTACTGTTGAAAGCTAAAGAGTTCTTCCCACAGAGACCAGCCGGTTATACTAGGTCTTTATTTTGCAATGTAGGTGTGTTCCCCCACCCATCTGAATAATTCGGCCTCCTGTTTTTCATGGCAAGGGAAAACAGAACCTAGGAGAATTTGTCCACCCTTTCACGATGAAAAATTTTTCAGAGGGCTAGCTAACAGGTTGCATTGAGTCTTATGTTGCACAGTTGAATGCATTCTTTCTTTCCAGTGTTTGCGTATGCTGTAGCACTCCAGGTGTCAGTAATAGTACTGGTGTCCCAGATACGGTCTGGTATTAAAGGATGTCTACAATGGTATTAATAAAACTTTACACAATCTGACATTCTTGGAGGGGGGACGACGACCAAAACCGAAGACAGTAGTATCTTTCTCTTGTGCATTAGAGTGTCACTGTGTCCTTGGTAACGTATTTGTACCTGCTAAAATAAGTAAGAGGATAAAGCTGGCACTTGTTACAGAGTACAGCTGATATCTGTTCCCCTCAGGAGCCTGTAGAACATGAGGCTTGGAAGTGGAGGAAGATTCAGTTTACAATGACAACAGTATATTCTAATAAATGCTTTTTTTAGTAACGATTTCTCTCTGTGACATGCTGCAAAGTAGTTTAAAAAGTATTTAAGCTTTTATAAAATCAAAGGTATGCAGACAGAGCTTTGTGTTTGCTGAATCCATTCTTGCTCGTTCAGTTTAAGACTGTTAGAAACATTAGATCAGCTCTCAATGGTTGTGCAAATCAGTGATGCCGCCTTGAAAACTGATGCACCTTCAAGTATAAAAGGATAATTATGTGCAAATTCTCCACTACAAAAACTGTTCTTCTGAAAGGTTTATCTTCCAAAAATGAGAAAGTTAACTGCTTCCATGTGGTCACCAGAGGGAGAGCGTTACAGACTTCCCAGTATCTAAAACACAGTTGCAAAGTTCTTCATTAGTGCTAATATGGATGCTGGTATCTGTTGATTAATCCGACTCTTTAAACACGTGAAAGTATGCTGGTAGTAAGATGCCAGGAGCTCTCCGTTTATCTAAAAGTGAAAGAGGAAGCCTACCAAAAGGGCAAGGGCAATCCCATGACAAAGAGTACATATGAGTAGTAGAGGTATCCTGGGACTGGACTGGACGACTGTCCACGTGCATTGGAGGAAAACCAGCAGCACTGTATATGAGATACGTGGAACAATCTGCAGCCAGGCTGGGAAACAGTACCCTTTTAAAACCTTTTTGCTTCAGTCTGTGCACATAGGCTTACTGTGCTCAGAAGAATAATAGCTGACACTAACAGAGAAGTGGCAGAAGTGTGAGCCAGGAAAAGTGAACAGATTAATGAATCCTCAGAATTGTGGAATATATTCAGGTCAGCAGAACCTGGTAAATTTCATCAGAGTATTTGACAGAAATGTTTTCTGAAGTGTTGGTAGTTATTTAAGATAAAAAAAAAAATTGAAATCTTGCAGGACAGATCACTTTTCAGAGGACCAAAGAAAGGCAAATTTATTTCCTATCCTTAAAAATGAGAAAAAGACCCAGGGAAACATAGGTGTATGTACAGTATATTTATTTGCCACTTTTTATTCAGGTGCATATCTATAGCAGTCCAGTTATTTGAAACAAAGAAGCTGAGGTTGGTCAAAGGTAAATGGAACCTAGGGGCTAATTCTCACCATAGAAGAGTTAAATAAAGGAGTCACCAAGGATATCTACTCACTCTCACAGTTCCCTAGAAAATGCTTCGACAGGGTCTCTCTGGCCAGCGTTGAAGACTGCTGTCCTTCTTCCCAGTTCCTACTCTTGAAGGTGATCCAGCTCAGATAGCTGTGTCCTGCTTGGTGCCTGTTCTTTGTTTTTTGAGGGATGTCGGGATCAGTTCTGAGTCAAAGCTGCTGTTAACTTTGTGTGGAATGGAAACACTGAAAGGTGGACAAAGGTGATTTAAAATCAGGTTTATCCTTCTGCCTCCAGGATCTGCCAGCCTCAGGTGTGTAGGAGAGGATTTGCAAATCTGTCCCAAAACTTGGGGGCAGAGTTTTGAGTCTTAAACAGTGGGTATGAAGAAGTCATCAGGCGGAACTGAATGAGAGGAAACGTTAATGTGGCAAGTGCCAAAAGCTACAAGCAAACAGCCTATCTGCAGAAAAGGGTGAAAGAAAAATGGAATGGATACCTCAGCCTGGAACAGCACATTACAGACTTAGACTGGAATATGCCACAGTGTTAGTAGCTCACTCGCGGGGAGGCATAAAGATGACTAATGGAATGGTGCAGAAGTTAGTAGAATTGGTTAATTAAACAAGCAGCAGCTTAGGAGATACAGATTTTATTCTTGGGTCAAACACAGTCTTTCTGTGGAATATTGAGTAAGTTATTTGAGTTTTTGCTGTTTGTTTTCTCACTAACTTAGGAGAGGCACTTTGGTATCTCATGGGGGTTATTACAAGGCTAAAATTAGGCATCAAGATTTTCAGTGTGACAATCACCAAAGGAAATACCTGTATTGTACATTTACTTTGAGAAAAGTAGTTGTCCTCTTAGTTTTTCATGTCCTGAATAACGTGGAGGAAATCCAGGGGGAGAGCACTGATAAAGGGACTGAGGGATGTGAATGTCATAAAAAGGCCTGCCTACTTTTTGTTTCCTTTAATAGTTTTCCGGTTTTTACTGATGGTTCTAGAGAATTTTTGTTGGTTGGTAGTATTTCATAGCTTTGTGTTTCTACGATTTCCTTTTTCATGAAAGGAAAACAAAGTTTGTGTACTTGCCACATGTCGTCAGTGTTAAAGCTTTGTTTTTTCACCCCCCAAACATTCTAGCCATACATACAGCAGCTATGGATATGCTGGGAGGATCTGGAATAGAAAAACAGTGCCGGAAAACGGACATCCTTGCAGATGCTGCATACTGCATTTTAACAAAACCAAAAAGTTTCACTGGAAACTTCATTATTGATGAAGTTCTGCTGAGAGAAGAAGGAGTTAAGGATTTTGATGTCTATGCAATTGCACCAGGTAAACCAGATCTTTAAGGTGAGAAATAAGTTCAGGAAGGAGGGAAGGCCATATGGAGAATATTAATACAGTTTTATTTCTAGGGCCTCTTAAATTAGCCTGTAAAAAGTTGCTTTGCCTCAGCTTTCAGAATGTGCCTTCCTGGAAAGTGCATACGAGTTCACTGAGATTCTAATCATGAGTGCCTATTAAATTTTTAAAAAGTACTTTAATGAAAATGATTTACCAGCTAGTGAGATAATATTTTTTTTCCTTCTTCAAGTGTTTTTCATTGCAACTTTGAGAAGCTTCTAGGTTAGATTTTAAATGAACCAAAGCTAAACATGTTATTTCATGATATTTCTTTCCTTCAAATGGTAGTTTATTTACCTATAAACTTGGCTGTAGTTTCATACAAAATGGATTCCTGTCTGTGCTGTCCAACTTGGACGTACTATTACCTTTTTCCTCCCTTTTAGGTCACCCCCTGATGCCTGACTTCTTCTTGGATGCTGAAACTGACATGACAGCCACAAAACAAGGATATGGTAGGGGAAGCACTGTGTGTAAACGCGATAATTTCTGACAATAATGATAACCTCTATTTCAGGTTCTTTTTTCTTTTCTCCCAAGAGCTTGGACTGCACTTAAGGTGTTTGGCAAAAACTGTTGTCTCATTTGGAGAGTATGATTTACGGAAGTGACTCTGTACTTAACGCTAAGGAAAGAATGTTATGTCCTGCAGGACTTTCATGGGATAAAATCAGTGCTTTGTTTTGAAAAATCCTTTTTTAACCATCTGAATCACGGTAGTATGACAGTCACACCGAAATATTGCTGGAAAAACAAATGAAATGGCAAACAGCACATTTTGCAGTAGTGTCTCATTTGCCTTGCTAGATTTATACAAAAGAACACAACGTGGAGACTCCATTGCTTCTTAGATGAAACTTACAAAATTTGCACAATTTAAATATCTCTTAAATGAAATGCAAACCGCTTTTTTAAGAAAAGCATCGGGTTGGTCTTTTCAGAGTTGTAGTGTGTCAAGTTGGAGGGCCACTGAGAATGCTGAACAGGTTTTGCAGGAGTGCGGAAACGGGGAAGGGAGAAGGGCGGGGGAGACAAAGTTGGAACAGTCCCTTTCCCTTGAAAATACTACTCGAGCCATCGCCCTGGGGCTGTTCTGGCAGGGACGGGTGGCGTGAGCTCCCTGGGCCTCGCAGCGCAGGCTGTTTAGTCGGGACTGACAGGATACTCCAGACTAATTTTTGACACTTAAGACACCTGAGAGACTTTGTCACAATGGTTTCAGCGGCTGTTCCGCCTTGTAAATGGCAGGTGCCGCCCTCCGTTGTTACGCGTGCACCTTCGCTGCAGGGCAGTAAAATGCTGATTAAAGCAGTGAATTGATTTCCAGCGTAGAAGCCTTTGCAGAAGAATCAATGAAAATGCCCGGGTTGTTAGCAAGACAGACAAGACAGAAGTACTTTGAGGTGAAAGTGGTGTTTATTAAAGAGACTGATTTGGGTTTTGTGAGTGCTGTCGGGAGGGTGTGGATCGCACTAGGAACCAGTGTGCTGTGTGGGCATTTGTAATGAACTGTGAAGAGTCAGGATTTTGCTGTGGTTTTATTTTCACTTTTCTTTTGACGTATTAGGAAGTGAAATGTATTGCAGAATTACCTTGGTGCTCCTCACCTGTCCAGATTCCCCGGTGCTAGGAGCGTCCTTTCTCTGTATGAGCACCGAGATGGGAAAATACTCACTTCCCTGCTGTGAAGCTTAGAGCTTTTCAAATGGAGGAGTTCTCTGGGCATGTTTCTCCGTGCAGTTTTAGAGCATGTTGCGTTGGAAAGAGACACGCGATCTCTTCCCTGTAGGTGCTTCCCAGGCATCCAAAGAGGAG